TATTTTTGGGTTCTTCTCTTATCTCTTGGAAATCCAAGAAACAGGTTACCGTCTCTCGCTCCTCCGCCGAAGCGGAATACCGGGCTCTTGCTTCTGTTGCTAGTGAGCTTCTTTGGTTGCGTCAGTTATTTTTGGATCTGCAACAACCTCTTTCTCAAGCCCTATTATTCTGTGATAACAAGGCTGCCGTTCATATTGCTTCTAATCCTATATTTCACGAACGCACTAAACATATTGAAGTTGATCTTTATTTTGTTCGTGCACATGTCACTCGTGGTTTTCTTCGTCTCATGCATGTGAAGTCTTCACACCAGCTTGCTGATCCTTTTACTAAGGCTCTTGCTGTTCGTCTGTTCACTTCGCTTATTGGCAAGCTCTCCCTCAAAAACATTTTTGGTCCAGCTTGAGGGGGGGATATTGGAGTTATCATGTTGAATCAATCACAACCATACACGTGTCAACAGATTAGTTACTTTGATTAGTTAATTACAGCTAGCTTATTAGTTAGAATTAGTTACTTTCCTCTTTTTAATATCTGTATAAATACTTTACACATGTAATTACTTGATGAACTAATGAGAATACTTTTCGAGATATTTTAGATCTCATCTTCTTCCTCTGCTCACCTAACATCCATGGCAGTTAGGGTTTGAGCTTTAATAAATCCCGTAAAAAAAAATGAATTATTATCAGAAATATATAAACATTGTCATGAAATTTAAATCATTAACTGACACATATCAAAATCTTCAACGATTAAACAAAATACTTCACCGAATCAACAAATACATCTAAGAAGAAGAAGAAGAAGAAGAAGAAGAAATGATAAAATGGTAGTTTCATCAAATATACCATGAAAATAAATTACAAAAATTAAAAAAATCGGAAATAATCAGAGAATAATTCGTGTTTAAGAAGATCATCAACTAAAAATGAAAGTTCCGAAAAATCGTATGACAATCGCAAATGGCGGAGAGGCTACTACATCTACAAACGCAAAAGCAGAAAAAAATCAACAAAAAACACAATCGGAAGGGCAAAGGAAATGAGAACAATTGAAGAAGAGAGAGAAGATTATTTCGGTACCTTAGAGAGAGAAAGTGATTGAAACTGAGACTGCAAAAGAAAATGAAAATGGAACCTAAGACTGAGAAACGAGAAGGGTTTTAGTGAGCAGAGTGTCTTGGAGAAGGGGTTTTTCTTTCCTCAGTTTCGAATTTGGGTAAATTCAAAACCTAATTCAATATAAAATAAAATTAAATTAAAGTAAAATTAAAATTACAATGAAAACTAAATTAAAGAAAAAAATTAGAAACATACTAAAACAGCACCGTAGATTACCCATGTTTATTATATGATGAATCTATTTTATAAATTTCAAAATATAAGAAATTAATTGTATTAAGACTTTCTATATAAATTTTTTAATTTTTGTATGTTTGGGAGAAAATCGGATAAAACGGATCAAAATTGGGGACCTCGAAAAATGACTTCCAAGACCTCTTAACATATTCTGACATTTCATATAGTTCTTGTGTATGCATTAATCTTGTTTTCAAAAAAAACGCTTTTACAATGAAACGAAGTTTGGCAATCTAAGAAATTTTTTTGTTGTTGTTCTTTTTTGGGTTAATAGCATTTCGCCATCTGAACTTTGCCCGTTTTTGCACTTTACCACCTTAACTAAAAAAAGTTGCACGGGCACACCCAAACTCACTTTTTTGACGCACTTAACCACCTAGGAGGAATATTCCGACGAATCTTCTAATTTTCCAATGCACGCGCGATACACACGCTTAATGGAGGGGTTTTTTGGTTATTTCACCTCAAAAAATTTGTGGGCCCTCTTTTTACTCTTTCTTCTCCTTCTCTCCCCCTCTCTCTCTCTCTCTCTCTCTCTCTCTCTCTCTCTCTCTCTCTCGGACACCCACACATATACAGACATCCCCAATCATCTTCTTCTTCTCTTCTTTCTTTATGCTTTTGTCAAGAATCAATCTTTTCCCAAAAGAAACTCCGCGAGCAATGCTGTGATGGGAACTGTGAAAGTATAAATCGTAGGTCTGATTCCATTATTGACCATTTCTTCAATCATCTACAAAGCATCATCCACCTTAGCAAGCACAAATTGATGTCCATTTTTCAGTATTTGTAAGTAAAAGAATAAATATATAGATATAGAGAACTCATATTGTAGTAAATATCATAAATTATACAGAAGATGTAGATTAAACATGTGGAAAGAGCCATAAGGTACATAACATAAAGCATATGGTACAAATTATCAGCCTAGCATCATCAAAGATGGAATTCCACTATTTTTCCTATTTCCTTAAAAAATAAAATTGGATAAGAAAAAAGCTTGTAGCGACGGCGGTACAGGCCAACTTGAGGCGGCTTTTAAGTAAGGTCTGATACTCCTCAAAATCTAGAGGAATATTTACGGGTGGGCCCACCGTCGCCGCGATCTGTCACCGTGGATTGGAGTTGGCTTCGACCTCACCGACGTCGTTGCGCTGTACAGTGGTGCTGTTGTGATCGGGGGAGGCGGCCTCCTGCAGGAACCGTTAGAATGCCCACTCCGATGAGCTGTAGTTCATCCCCATCATTTTCGTAGAGGACGTAGCGACGGCGGCAGACGAAGATTGATTCTTTAGAAAAGTACAAAGAATAAAGAGAAGAAGAAGATGGCGATGGGGATGTCTGTATATGTGTGGGTGTCCGAGAAAGAGAGAGAGAGAAAGGTAGAGAGAGAGAGAGAAAGAGAGAAAGGGAGAGAGAGAGAAAAAAAACAGGTCCAACAAATATTTTGAGGTGAAATTACCAAAAAACCCTTCCATTAAGCATGTGCATCGCGCGTGCGCCGGAAAATGAGAAGATTCACTGGAATATTCCTCGTAGGTGGTTATGTGCGTAAAAAAAGTGAATTTGGGTGTGCCCTTGCAACTTTTTTTAGTTAAGGTGGTAAAGTACAAAAACGAGCAAAGTCTAAGTGGCGAAATGCTATTAACCCTTCTTTTTTCTGTTTCTTTTATTTTATTTTTGTTAATTCAATTTTAACATTTATGTTCCCTACTGCATGGAAGGGAGCAAATCACATAATTAAAAAATAAATAAATAAAAGACAAAGATGCTTAAAATTCAACTCCCAATATTTCCTTAGCTTCTAGTTGAAGAATATAATTAACCATATATGATATATCTTCCTCTCAGCTTAGAGAGCAGAAATTGCATCCACTTTCCCACTTATTATTTAGAGTAAAAAGCAGTTTGCCCCCTAAACTAATGGCCATTTTGCACTTTGCCCCCCAAACAAAAAAAAATTGCACGTTTTTACCTAAACTCGTTAATTTGTTGCAGTTTGCCCCCTAAACCGAATATTCCGGCAATTTTGGACGGAAAGTTAAACACGTGCATTGCACGTGAAATTCGCAGGGGTAAATTCATACATTCTCTTCCATTTTATATATTAAATATTAATTAAATCATTAACATAAAAAAAAGTAAATAAAGAAAAAACAAGAAAAAAAACCACCTGCAACAACATCTTCCCTCGCCCACCCACCACCGGCGATTTACCTACGCACTCCAAAGCTCGATCTTGCATTCATGATCCTCTCTCCACCCTCGCCGACACCGACCGCCCGACACGCTCCCTAGTCCCTCCCTTTCCTCCGCCACTTTCTCCTCCATCTTCGCCGCCCTTATTTATCTCTCCTCCGATCCCGACTACGCCTCATCGTACTCTCTTACCTCCGCCTAATTATATCCTCCATCTACCTCCACCGCATCCACCATATGGCCTCCAACGTCCACTCTCTCTCCGGTCAAATCATAAATGTCCTCGATTCTTCCTTAGAGAGAGAAATCAAAATCATAAGTGTCCACCAATTCTCTCAGCCTCCGCAATTTTACCCCATTCTTGTTGATGTTGATCTTGTTCTTAGCACGTGCTTCCTTCTTCGATTTCGCAGCTGAAGCTTTGACGGGCTCCTTCGTCAGCCCAAGTTCCACGGCTTCGCCTCCTGATTAGCCTCGTCGTCGGCAAACAGAGTAGGTTAACAATGGGATGGTGGGCGGTTGTGGGCTAGGGTTGTTGTCTGGGGTTATGGGCTGGGATTTGGGGGTGGGTCTTGTTGTTGGATTCCGCTCTCAGTTGTTGTGCTGGAGTTGGTCAGGTGAATCGCGGCGGCGGAAGTGGTGGGAATTGGAGGCGGCGGTGGAGGATAAATGAACGGCAAAGAATAAAATAGAACATAGGAAATAAATGGAGAATAAAAAATTAAAGAAAAAAGGCATGTGGCAGGTGTTTTGATTTTTTTCTTTTTTTTAAATGATTATTTTATATTAATGCGTAGAATTTAAGTAAATTGACAACTTTACCCCTGTAAATTGCACGTGCAATGCATGTGATTTAACATTCCGTCCAAAATTGCCTGAAAATTCAGTTTAGGGGGTATCGTGCAACGAATTAATGAGTTCAGGTAAAAACGTGCTAATTTTTTTTGTTTGGGGGGCAAAGTGCAAAACGACTCTTAATTTAGGGGGCAAACTGCTTTTTACTCTATTATTTATTGCCTCTTTCTTCCCATCAAACTGCCTGAGAATTCTCATACATACAAAAACACTCTTTCAAAACTCCTTTTTTTTTTCTTTTTCTTTTCCAGTAAAAACAAATAAATTAATTAAACCAGCCAGAAAAAGAAAAACA